CCCGACTAGTCTCTAAAATAATTAGTCAGAATTCAACCTCAAATGTCTTTTTGTTGTAGTAGAAACGCTTATTTTCGCAATCACAATCATGGAGTGATGATCATCGCTTAAACTAACAGAATTTTGCAAATCGCAATTATGTAAGCTTCAACTTTGCGCGTTATTTAAACCAATGCTAGACTTGTATAGATGAGCTGTATTGGTGATAATCTTCTCACGATATTAAAAAACTTGGACATCCAGATTTACTGAATCGATTATTATATTTTAAACATGTATATTCATGAAAAAAATGAAAAAAATTTATTTAACAAAAATTTCTTTAAAAAAAAAATTCTTTTTTAACCAAAATTTAACAAAAATTTATTAACAATTATTTAACAAAAATTTATTTAACAAAGATTTGATTTTTGCATTGTTTTTTAAACTTAAAATAATACAGTAAATAATAAAAATAGAATATTAAATAGAGATCCTTTAAATAATTTACAATTATATCCATCACTGTGAGATTGATTTTTAGGACCCACGGATAAAATTTTTGTCTTAACGACATAACAATGTTCTACCACTTATTCGCCAGGGACATTTACCATAGCCATACCCTCTTTCACTACGATTTTATTTTTTACCATTCATTACCATATCCTTTGTCGTCATGACCATATCCATCGTGTTTGTCGTCATGACCATATCCATCGTGTTTGTCGTCATGACCATATCCATCGTGTTTGTTGTCATGACCATATCCCTTATGGTCTTTTCCGTCGTCATCACAATCATCGTCTTTTTCACCGCGTTTGTGATGTTTATCATCTTTTTTGTCATCATAATCGTGTTTGTCGTCATAATCATGTCCATCGTGTTTGTCGTCATAACCATATCCATCGTGTTTGTCGTCATGACCATATCCCTTATGGTCTTTTACGTCGTCATCACAGTCATCGTCTTTTTCACCGCGTTTGTGATGTTTATCATCTTTTTTGTCATCATAGTCGTGTTTGTCGTCATAATCATGTCCATCGTGTTTGTCGTCATAACCATATCCATCGTGTTTGTCATCATAACCATATCCATCGTGTTTGTCATCATGACCATATCCCTTATGGTCTTTTACGTCGTCATCACAATCATCGTCTTTTTCACCGCGTTTGTGATGTTTATCATCTTTTTTGTCATCATAATCATGTCCATCGTGTTTGTCGTCATAATCATGTCCATCGTGTTTGTCGTCATAATCATGTCCATCGTGTTTGTCATCATAACCATATCCATCGTGTTTGTCGTCATGACCGTATCCCTTATGGTCTTTTACGTCGTCATCACAATCATCGTCTTTTTCACCGCGTTTGTAATGTTTATCATCTTTTTTGTCGTCATGACCATATCCATCGTGTTTGTCGTCATGACCATATCCATCGTGTTTGTCGTCATGACCATATCCATCATGTTTGTCGTCATGACCATATCCCTTATGGTCTTTTCCGTCGTCATCACAATCATCGTCTTTTTCACCGCGTTTGTAATGTTTATCATCTTTTTTTTTGTCATCATAACCATATCCATCGTGTTTGTCGTCATGACCATATCCATCGTGTTTATCGTCATGACCATATCCATCATGTTTATCGTCATCACAATCATCGTCTTTTTCATCGTCTTTTTCACCGCGTTTGTAATGTTTATCATCTTTTTTGTCATCATAGCCATGTCCATCGTGTTTGTCGTCATGACCATGTCCATCGTGTTTGTCGTCATGACCATGTCCTTTATAGTCTTTTACGTCATCATCACAGTCTTCGTCATCTTTATATCCTTTGGAATCATGACCATATTCTTCATGGCCTTTTTTATAATCATTGCCACGCTTTTTAAGGATTTTATCATGTTTTTTTTCGTCGTGACCATATCCTTTATCGTGTTTTTCGTCATGACCATATCCTTTATGGTCTTTTTCGTCATCACAATCTTCATCGTCCTTTTCATAGCCGTAGTCTTTATCATGGTCATAATCTTCACCACGCTTTTTATTTATACTACGCTTTTTGCCTTTATCATCTTTTTCATAGCAATAGATTTCTTCATTTTCGCCGAAGCATTCGTAATCGTCGTCATCTTTATCCCCATCGTGCTTTTTATCTACACCCTTTTTAGAAGAATAATCATCGTGTCCTTTATCACCTTTACTATAATCATGGTCTTTTTCACCTCTACCATCTTAAATAAAAATTATACATTAGCACATAAATTGTTAATTTAAAAACAAAATTATTTAGTTTGATAGAAAAAAAATAATTACAAAGTATTTCACCGCCTTGTTTTGATCTAGCATAATATTCTATTATAATATAAGAAGTTGAATAAACAAGTTACTATATGCTAACCATTGTCATACATATTATTTAATTAAAACATTCAGAAAAGAAAAATAAAACAATACCTCTTCGAGATGGAGCAGCAATTGCGGTAGAGGTAGAAAGGAGAAGGATCAAGCATGTTGTAGCGATATTTAATTTCATCTTTCTTCGTTTATTTTTCGATCGTGAATTAAGAATTAATGTTTCTTTATTATTATTACTTTCTGCGTATAAGAAAAGCAGAAATTGTATATATTATATATATATTTTTTTCAAATCTTGAAAGACTGAATTGTTGAGTTGAGGGAGGAATTTTGAAGGGTCGTTTATATAAGGAAATTTTGGATCAATGTTGAATTTATTCTTCCTATTAATAACGAGCTTGGCGAAATCTTATTAATTCTCATCATTGTGGAAACAATCTTAAATTAGGTCAATATTATTTAAAGTTTTGATAACTTTATTAGTAATGACGTGAATACAGTAAAAATTCTAACAAGCTTTTTATAAATATGTATAAAAATAATATGTATAGTTTTGGTCATATTGATACTTTTCCAAAAATAAAAAAAATCGCCTGGTATATTTAGAAACAAGCTTAACATTTTCACACATTGACGTTAAGTATATAAATTTTAGAATTAAATAAATGTCGTCATAAAAAGCTGTCAGTTTATACGTACAGTATATGATTTCGTCATATAGTAAGAGTTATGTGCATTTACTATAAATGCGTTCTTTTGTAGATAATTCATTAAGGATCAGAATAGCTTTATTTAACTTATATTACATCATATTACGTTCATTCAATATTCTTTAAAAAAAAAGAAACAAGAATTTAATTTGAGATAAAAAAAAAAAAAAAAAACTAACGCTAAGACAAAAGAAATAAAATTCTAAAAAAAAAAAAAAATCATTATTATGTCAGATGGCGAAGCATTTATAATTAGTTCGTACGTACAGTACGTGCATGCGTACATATTAACTGGCACAGTAAGATTATTGCCATCAAAGTAAATCATGCAAATCATATTAGATAAGATTTACTTTATTTCGGCTCGGGCCCTATATATTTAATAGTACTAAGCCGCACCATATACTAATCTTTAATGGTTAACATTGACATCATAAATATATTTAAAATTTAGTCTATATTTAATTAAAAGATTCCCAAACTTTCATCCTATTTTTGTTGGTATACTCTAAGCTATCCCTAGTAATTATCTACAATAATTTACAACGTGCATATGCATACATACATAAATGTGCGGCGTACATATTTAAATTTCTTGATGTTAAGTCTTATTTTTACATAGTAAAAAAATATTTTAGCTAGGCATTAGAATTAGCTATATGTTCGCAATTACGAGGAAAATAACAAGTTTCTATTAGTAACATTTCGATTTAGTGTCGATTTTGTGTACTGTGTATTTTCGGTTTTGTTTTTCCTGATTTGCGCACGTGTCGGGCTGAGTATAATCAAGATTTACATCTTTTTTGTTTGTGTTGCACAATTGAACGCCATAAATCCTAAAATCGCAAGCAAATACAAATAAAGCTTAAAATCATTAAAATTAGAAAAAAATTTATTTTAAATGTTTCTATATCTGTGGTTCAACTAATTTGAACGAAAATTCACGTTGAAATGCAAGCAAGAAGTGCCAGGTTTTTTTCTTGATTAAAAAAATCTCACATGTTAAACAAATTCAGCAATATTATTCAATGTATCATGTGATAAAGACAAATAGCGTCAGTACCATTGATGAATCTTAATTACATCTACTAAGTGTTAACTCTCGGCTTGCCGAAATAAATCAGGATCATTTAAAATATCACTTCTTTTGGCTTCATTAAAAATTATAAATCATGACAATAAACTTTAATTCCCGAGGCAGCGTTATTTCGCGAAATATAATTGTCCTATCTTTGAGATCATAATAATTTCCTATAAAGATTTGTACATCATTTACGCCATTCATAAAGAAAAGGTCAACTTTATTTTTATAGATATTACTTTTAGTTCTCTATAAGACTTTTTTTAAAGACTACAAATATTATTAGGTTTACTATCGTTAGGATGAGGTCTTGTTAATGACATTGGTACTATTTATATCTTATTAGAAAAATATTTATATTGTATTTTTCTTTAAATATTGGAGTACCCGACCTTAATTCATCAAACCTTAAAGTTTGGGTTGATCCATAGTGTACAACCCCGCAGCTAAGAAACTCCCATATTTGAAATTTGTACACAATTAGATTAGTGTCCAGTTTTGCTAATTGGTTCATTTATTAAAGTTAGGTTTCAAGGTTCGATTATCAAAATAATCTGATATGCCTGAACAGTCATAGCCTCATTATCGCTATCAATTAGCAATCTATACTAAATAATTTCTAAACCTCGATATAATCACTGGGTTGGTAACCATAACTAGGGCGATAATGCCTATATTGAGGTTAATTTCTTATGCTTTATAATCATTGGTAAACTACTGTATAAAATGTAATTTTTCTATAATTTGTGACTATATCAAAAGTGCCGGGACACTTGAAGAATAGGTACCCCAGTGATCATCACATCACATGAAATCATTAATGACGTCATTTGTTTACTCGC